GGAAGATCCCTTCAGTGTCCGATGGAGCTAGGTTAGTATTTGGCGGAGTCCGGGTTTCAGTCCGGATTGGTGGAGGTACAGGGTTTTGTTTTCGGCTCTTGTTGATCGGGGTGAACCCGGAAAGCACTGGCGACTGCTTAGGGGGTGTTTCTGGTATCTCCTCCGGGATAGGCTTGACAGTTTTGCGGGACGATTTGCGACCTGAGGAAGTTCGGTGTTTCTTATGTTTTCGGGACGATTTGTGTTTCTTGGTTTTTCGGTGGGTCTTTTCGTTATCGTCTTCGTCTATGTCACGCAAGCGCTTCTTATTGGGAAGTTGATTTGTGTTCTGTGAGCTACCGGGAGTGCTCTGAGCGGTGTTTGGAGTCTGATAATGTTAATGTATCACTGTGGTGAGTATGGTTCTAAAATTAATTGGATTAGGAGAGAGAAATACCATCTTATTTATAAAGATTGCAAAGGTTAAATCGCTTGAAAACGGAGGAACTTGAAGGATGAGATTTCAACAGGTAATGTTGAAAGCAATGGAAAACTTGAAGTGATAGGTAGAGGAGAACTTGAAGGTGGTTAGGAACTTCTCACGAACTTGAAGGAAGGGAGGGGTGCTCTTATACCGAGTACGATCAGCTTTTTTCTTGAGCTTATCACGCTTCCGAGAGCACCCACGAATGCTCTAGAAGCACTCGAGGGTGCTCGTACTCAATGTTTGCTTCAATATATGACGTTGATCTAAATGCTCCAGGCGCACTCGGGGATGCTCTGACGGTACCAATGGTGACGTCGATAACATTCTGGTGTTGGGGTTGGTGCTTGTGTTCTTGTTGGTGTTGGTACTCTGTCCTCTAGGAAGCTGATTCGGAGAGAATGTATTCTTTGAGCTCGTAGTCGATATTAGTGTTGAATTTGGCGCTGAGAACACTGTCTCGATCTGAAGAGACTCCGCGAGTGCTCAGGGAGAGAGTGCAGATGCTCAGGGCGATAGAATCTAGCATAACTGGCCGCCTGATTGGGGTGGTGGGTGTTTCTTCGTGTTGGTGTTGATGTTTGTATTAGGTTGGTGATGTATGACATCAGACTCGTATTGAAAATCAGCCTTGCCGACCGGGGTGCAGGTGAGAGGAGCCTCATTGGCTGACAAATCAAATCATTCGAGCACTCTGCAGCAGCACCTGCAGGAAAGAGCCTCCTCGGCCTTGGCAGAAACCAAATTTTTAGAGCACTCAGGAGTGCTTTGCTAGCATCATGAGACTTCAATGAAATCGTCTTGCCCCTTTTGCAGCAAGCGGTACAGCTCCTCCGCGAACTTCGATAAACATCTTCGAACTACACATCCATTTGAAGCAGATGAATGGCTGGGAAACCAATTTTTACTCCTGGAGCGCGATCAAGAGGCACCCGATGACACTCACGACAGCCCGGAAGGCATTCACGATTCCTATTCAGATGCCCATGACGACTCGGATAGTTCGGAGAGCAACAGTATCAATTATCATGACCAAGATCCCGATAATAATTCAGATCTGGAATCCGAATCATATTTTATGATGGAAGAGACAGATGGAGATGCAAATAGGCATGAGGCAGCGACAACGATTTACGAGGGTGCTGGGGAGCGTCTCTACCGCTCGGAGGACTACGACGAATGCTCACAAAACCTTCTCCGATACCCGTGGCACCCATTCAACTCAGCATACGAGTTTAGAATGGCACGTTATTTCATACTGTCGAAGGCCTCACAAGGAAATATCGACAGTTTCTTTCTACACGCTCCGTCAAGCAGTGGCGAATGCTCCTACAGGACTGGGCGAGGTTTTATAAAGAGGTTGGACGAAATGAATGACATATTGGGAAAGGCGAGCTGGCATCATTCGGAGGTGGATATTGGGGGAGAGAAAATCCCTTACTATTACCGGGATCCAATGGTAATTGTGCGATATCTTCTAGGCCAACGGGCCTTTCGGGAGTCATTGGTGTACGCGCCAGTGGTAGAGCATAATGAATCTGGCGAGAGAATGTACGGGGAAATGCATACGGGAGATTGGTGGTGGGAGACGCAGGTCTGGTAAGCCTCACAAGTGCTCTAGAGGCAGTCGCTAATGCTTTCTGGACAGAATACCTTACCGGAGGGGTCGACTGTGGTACCAATTATATGCGCGTCAGATGGCACACATTTGACAAATTTTAGTGGGGACAAGAAAGCCTGGCCAATCTATCTTACCATCGGGAACATCAAGTCATCGGTCCGGAGCAAGCCCACCGGGCATTCGTTAATTCTCCTAGGGCTACTGCCAGTCCCACCTAAGCTCGGGAAGAACTCACTCGCTAATTCCGCTTTACGACGTCAGAGTCAAATGGCGCTGCATCGCGCCCTTGGGGAGATCTTTCAGAGCATTCGGGAGTGCTCTCAGGAAGGCGAGCTAATCGCATGCGCCGACGGGTACGAACGTCTATGCTTTCCGGTGTTGTCGGGTTGGATCGCTGATCAACCTGAGCATTCAAACTTACAAAATATTAGTACTAGCTCTTGTCCAAGATGCGAGGTGGAATTCCACAGTCTTGGGAGCACTCGCCGGAGCCCTACGCGCGATCACGAGGATTACCGGGAGAGGGTAAAGCTATTCAGGGAGAACCCGGGAAACCTGGGACCGGTGGAATACCTTGTCGCGAGATCAGTAAAGACACTCTTCAATGCTTTCTGGGGTATGCCGAGGGTTAATCCATACGATCTCAACAAACCGGACATTCTGCACAATATCTACCTAGGGATGTTGAAGCACATGATGGAGTGGGTTCAGGCTTTCTTGAAGAAGCACAATCGATTGGAGGAATTTGACAAGGCTTGGGCCTCGATTGCGCCTTACCCTGGACTGGCAGTACCGAACAAGGCATATCGTGCCACAACCCAATGGCAAGGGAAGGAGATGAGAAATCTGGGGCGGGTCGTTCTTGGAGCACTCGCGGCTGCTTTGAGAAACCCGGGGGTGGCTGTCAGGGGCGACTTCGCAAAGGCATTGAAATGTGTACGAGGCTTAATCGACTTCCACTTAATGGCGCAGTATGGGAGTCATACGACGAGCACACTGAATTATATGGAGAGCTATCTCGAGGATTTCCATAAGCACAAGGATATCTTTTTAGAATTCCGGGCGTACAAGAGGACGGTTAAGGATGCGAGAGATCGGACAAAAGCTGTGAAGACCTCAGGCTCCCAGAGCGCTCAGCGAGGTTTGGAGGAGATTCGCGAGATACGGGAAAGGTCTCACTTCAACTTCATCAAATTGCTCGTGTTAACGCACTATCGGGAACATGTCGAGCGCTTTGGGAGCATTCCCCAGTACTCCACCGACATCAGCGAACTCGCCCATGTACGTCAGATAAAAGAGGCATACGGAGCATCCAACAAGGTCGATGCTGCAACGCAGATACTGGACTATGGGGGGCGGCGGTTGGCGTTAGAGATTCGAATGCTGAATCTGAAAGACATTGTTGGAGGTCCTGAGAGCACTGACGACATCCTTTGGAGCCATCGAGATAACCTGAAGGAGTTACTTGAGATTTTTAAAATCGAAGACCGGAAAAAAACACCAAATGAACGATCCATAGTAGAAGGCCGACTGCCTCTAAGGCGTCTTTGCAACCCCTCCACGAAATCGGAAAGACTTTTCAATATTGCGGATGGACTGCAAATAAGCCATACCACGTTATATCGCCTGATAAAGGAGTATGCAGAGGATGCGGGATGCTCTCAAAGCTTTGCCGGAAGCTCTGAGAGCATTTTAGAGCGCCGGGTGGAGATGTTCACATGTTTGCAGGTTCCGATACCAATCTTCCAAAGACCTGAGGTGTACGAGGTTCACAATATCAGGTGTACGGGAAACGCGGCTTTTAGGAAAGGGAAAATAAGAAAGGATTGGGTATGGGTGTCGGTAGCGTCCTCAGAGGAGTGGGGAGTGTTTCGGGGACGCTTACCAGGACGTGTCGAGGCTTTGTTCAAGCTGCGGGACAGTGGGGGGCGAGCACATAGACTATGTATAGTGGAGCTACTCGAGGCAAAGGATCGTGGTATCGCTGATAGCTCACATGGGCTCCTGAAGGTTTGTAGGAGGAGGAGGAAGAGGATGTGGGTCGTTAATATTCGGAGTATATTGGGAATGGCCCATTTGTTTGAGGTGGAGACTGGTAATTGGTTGGTAAATACTAGGATAGACTTGCGTACGTGGAATGAATTTAGTTGAATACTTGTAAAGCCGTGAGGGCATTCTTGAGTGCTCTAGGAACGTTAGACCCAATTGGACTCTCTAATTCAAAATTCGTGTCGTTCTGCTATGCATGCGGATTGGAAGAAGGAGGTAAAGTTTCGGCCGCTCAGTATCTGAGTCTGGCTATCCAGCAAGCTCGCTCCAGGAGGTCAATGCCAGTCCATGTTTGCTGCTTATGCATGGACATTGAGCTTTTCAGACGAGCCGTACCATGGCCTCAACCTCAAGGCTAATTATGCCTTTCACGAATCGACAGAAACATACACGTCCGTCAAAGGTTGGGTAGTCGTCACCAGTATACAGGACAGTGCTCGTATCAGTATCCCGCGACTGACCGTACAGCGGCGTTGAGGATACCCACGTTAGATATCTTTTGAGGGACTGGTGCGGCCTTCCTATCCTTTGAGGACGGTGTATCAATCCAAAGGAGCCCAAGTGAGGGTTGCCTCACCTTGAGTGGGTATGACGAATGCCTCAGCTCTGTGAGCACTGGTGAGTGCTCTGGGAGCACTCGCGGAAGCCCTCGCGGGAGCGTTCGCGGGAGCGTTCGCGGGAGCATTCGCGGGAGCATTCGCGGTGCCGTGAGAGCATTCGCGGTGCCGTGAGAGCATTCGCCGTGCCGTGAGAGCATTCGTCGTGCCGTGAGAGCATTCAAGAAAACTGTGAGAGCATTGGGAAGTGCTCGCGTGTACTACTGACGTAATCAAAAGAAGCAAAAGTTCCTAGGTGCTGTGGGCGGAGTCACTCCATCCTAGCGTCTCCGGAGGGGGAGGGAATCTCATGGCGGCCCAGGCGACCAGAGCATTGGCGAGTGCCCTCCGGACGTGAGCCATATCTCCTGGCGGTCCCAGAGAGTGGGACGGTCCTGCGGCGGAGCCTGGCGCGAAGGTTGTAGTCTGGCGGTGCCGGACGCGCTGGGCGCTCGTGGCGCAGAATGCCCGCCAGGACGTAGGGGCTGCGCCCTGGGTAATAGGCGAGCTTGCTGATGTAGTCGTTTTTACAGATGAGTCTTATTTTGAGACTGGTGATCTACGAAGGAGGCGTGCGAAGGGTGTTCTACGACGCGCTGGGGAAGCGTACATTTCTCGGAATATCAATCGCAAATTCGGTACTGGAGCGACTATTATGTTCTGGGGAGCTATTCTCTATGACCATAATGGTAATCAACTCCCGTATCATCTGTATAAAACACCCTACGAAACACCAGAAGAACGAAGGCGGGCGGATCTACAACTACAGGAGGAATATGAGCAAGAATTGAGAGAAGAGGCATTTCATTTGGCCAACGGCGATTGGTTAGCTCAAGACCCTGAGCTAAAGGTACGTAAAAAGGATAGAAAGGGTGGTATAGATTGGTTTATATACCGTGAGAGGATACTCAACCCTCAATTGTATCCCTTTGTACTCCAAAAGATGGCTCAACGGCCTGCTGTATTACTCATGGAAGATAATGCCCCATCACATATACATCGTTATCATAACTACCCCCGAGAACAGCTAGGTATAAATAAGCTCATATGGCCCCCCAATTCCCCGGATTTAAATCCAATTGAGAGAATTTGGATGGAAATAAAGGACAAAATCAAGTCACAAATAGGGGTAGATTTTACTGCTGCAGCTATACGCCGTCTACTTTTACAAGAATGGACAAACTACCCGGTTGATAGAGTAAATCATCATGTATTATCAATGACAAGACGGATCGAAGCCTGTATTGCAGATGGCGGAGGAAACAATTTCAATTTTTAAACCCCAACGGGCCCTGTTGACAACCGTGACTATCAAAAGGCAAAGATCGAGTGCTCACCCATGATACTAAAAGCAGGTCAATTTCCTCCATGCACGGCTCCTGCACCTCATATGCGGACCCGGTCATTTTTACAAACGTCAGGAAAATACGAGTAATGTATGCATTGACGTTGAACTCAGTGAAAACGCACACCGTTGCGCACTGAAACCTGGATATGAAACTGCGTGGTGTCCCATTCGCCGGGAGTCCCGCTAGTGGCATTGGGTTGATTGATTCATAACTCGTTAATTGATTATATGTAGCCTAGAGGAGGATAGGACACGCATTGGATGCTTGATATTTATTAGAAGCATTGGAAAGACTCTAGCTCTCCTGTAACTCCTATTGGTTGCAGCATGTACGTATGAGTTTCTGTCCAAGCTGCTCGACGTCGACTTTCTCTAATCTATCCGAAATTTAAAACCCTCAACTAATTGCGATATCGCGAGTACACTGCACTGCAGCGCTACATGTAGTATAGTACTACTCTACAAGTATATGTATGTAGGTATGGGCTTATCTAAGTGTATATTGTATATATTGCTGCATGCACATTTTGCACCGCTGCCAGGGTTCTTCACTTGCAATTATTGAAACCGCGACCCGCGCTTATTCTCTACTGATATTTCAAAACCCTCTAATAGTACATAGTGCTTTGCATTATCTGGTGCATTGGTTTGATTAATTGTGTGCAGCTAGCTACGACACATACCGGGCTCGAACACGGCTCTGTATATATAGTAATCATCAATTAATAACATACAATCGGTAGCCACCAATATTCTTGCTACATCTAGACTAGTTAAACGATACACTTAACTCATGCACTGACCCGATGACGCGAGGCAATTGCAATTAAACAGGATCACGGGGGGCGTCAGAGCTAGAGTACTTCTTCTTCTTCTTGTATTTCAACCAATTGCAACACGAAATAAAAAAAAGATATCAAGATTACGAAAAAAAACCGAAATAGCCAAATTATGCATTCCCCACATTTTATCATTCCCCGCGTTCCATATATCCATGGCCAGTCAATCATTTCCACACCGCCGCCACCCACCAATAGCAATAATAAATAGTCAAGTCAAAAAGCGAAAGAGAGAGAGAGAGAAGAAATCTATCATACACACCTCCCCCCACAGCCACACCTCCCCGCACACCCCCGCCCCCTCACCCCCTCACCCCCCTCACCCCCCTCACCCCCCTCACCCCTCTACTCCCTACCTCGACGCCGGAAAATTCTTACTATACGCCCCACACATCAGCCTCTGCCCCCCTCCTCCCATCCCACAACCCCACAGAAAGAGCAGCCACATACCTATTCAACAACACCCCCTTCACACTCCTAATCTCCGCCTTCACCTTCGCCACCGGATCATCCTTATCCTTCTCCTTCCCGCCCGCACCGCCACCATACCCTCCATACGGGCTCGTATAAATATTCGTCCCGGGCCACTCATACGTCAGCGTCTCGAGATAGCTCGTGAGATCCTCCAGCGCAAACGTCAGCTCGTTATCCGTCCCATCACTATGGCTCTCCACGAGCGTCTGCAGCTGCGCCCCCAACCTCTCCAACTTCCCATCCGGCGAGAGCTCCGCGCCGTCCGCCAGGTCCGCGCCAAGGTCCGCGCTCGTCTGCGTGCTCGCATCGACGTGGAAGAGCTCGCCGGGGTCGCTGGTGTCGCTGTCCGAGTCGCTGTCGGCGCGGCGCGGCTTGATAGTCGCGCCCTCGGGGAGCAGCTCGGTGAGGCGTGTGTTGAGCGTTGCGAGGTTTGTGAGCGCGGTGCTGGCGAGGTCGAGGCGCGCGGAGGTCAGGGCGTCGTACATGGGGGTGAGGACGAACTTGTTGGCGCCGTAGATGGTGGCGGCGGCGCCGGTCGCGAAGTAGAGGGATTTGCCGAGTGTTTTGGCGGTCATGAGGGGAGCGGGGGGCGCGGGGGGGCGGGGGTGAGGAATTCGGGGTAGGTGACGATGGGGGCGACGGGGGCGGGGTGCTGCTGGCGGTGGTGGTGGTGGTGGGGCGGGCTTGGTGGGGACGACGGCGGTGGAGGTGGAGGTCGAGGTCGAGGTGCTGGAGGAGGCCTTCACAAGCTGTGGGTATGTCAGCTCTATTCCTATACTCTCACCGTACACCCACCATCCCTACTACCACCACTCCAGGGCCCAACATCAAACAAAACCTACCTCCTTCCCTTTCCCCTTATCCGCCTTCCCCCCCTCCTTCTCCTTCTCCTTCCTCTCCTCCTCCTCCTTCTTCCCGCCCACAACCACCACCCCCTTCCCCGCCTCCTTCTCCGCCAGCTTCTCCAGCAGCGCCTCCATCTCGTCCCTCGTCAGCCCCTTGGTCTTGAGGAACTCGAGCTTCTCCCGCAGCGGCGCATTCATGATGGGCGCGCTCTCGAGGAACTTTTGCGCAGAGTCGAGCAGCTCTGCACGTGTGAGCGGCGCGGGCTCGGGGCCGTCCTTCATCTTGGGCGTGCCGGGGGGGCTGGAGTGCACGATGTTGAGGCCCGAGGGGAGCTCGGGGGGCGTGTGTGGTGGGTTGGAGTTGTTGTCGGAGGGCATTGTGGGTGATGTGATGTGATTGAGGCCCCTATTAATTGTTGTACTGTGCTGTGTTCACGTAGTGGTAGTGTGTGTGTGTGTGTGTGTTCTGTGGGGGGGGGGGTGAGAGCTGGGGGTTGTGGAGAGTTGATCGAGGATGCTCGCTCAGCTCAGGTAGAAGAGAAGAGTCGGTTGTGATATCTGCTTCCCTGTGTGTTGCGTGCGTGTGTTGCCGAGGCAATTTCCACTCGTGTGAGTGTGTGTGTGTGTGCTGTCGGCCTGCAACTGGCCCCTGTTGAATTGTTGAACGTGAATCTGTGGCTGTCTACTCTACGCCTCGGTTTGTGGCGGTCTCTTGCAGCTTGGACATGCACCAATACCGAGTATTATGTATGCTGTAACTAAACCCTGACATTAATGCTCGGGGTAAACTTGAGTAGAGGAAACGATGAATAAGGCGTGCACGGGTCTGCAGGTACAATTGAGGCCTGTTTGCACAACCACACGAGCTCATATCTTCATTCCCGAATGCCTTACGGCTTGACCTTGAAATATTAAACTGTATTGTTTGTACGTGACCGTACACTCACATATACGGGCTCTGAATCCAAATATTAGCTGAGAGCTATATATGCGTGTGTAGCAGCAGCTTATTGGCAGGGAGGCAAATGTTGTTTGACTGAGGAAATCTCTCAGTTGAAGAAGGAAAGGCATGGTAGTACAGGTTGTACCCGGCACACGCGTGAAGAGCTGCAATAATCTGAATACCCTAATCCATCCATACTCAACCTCACTCTCTATCTCTCTCTCTCTCCGCAACCTCACTATCTCTCTCTACAACCACAATTAAACCCCACAAACACCAGCATAAACATCTCCATACACATCCCCATCCCCAATGGCCTCCCGCCAGTCCAAAAAACGCTCCTCCGACCCCCCCCCTCGCTCCGCCCCAACCACCACCAAGCGCTCCCGCCGCTCCCCCACCACCTCCGAATCCAGCGAAAGCGAGCTCTCCGAGCTCGAAGAAGAGAGCATGACGCTCCCCAACGCCGACGACGACGACGATGACGACGACGACGAAGACGAGGACTCCGACCCCAGCTCCGAGGAGAGCCCGAGGAGCGCGAAGACAGGTCTGCCCGCCCCTCACCCGCACCCGCCCCGGGAGGGAGGGAGGAGAGAGGGAGAGGGAAGCTAACCCGCACTAGTTACATCTACGAGGACTCCGACTCGGCGCCGACGCCGGCGGCCGCCGCGCGGCGCAAGCCGACGCGTAAGAGCGGGCTGTCAAAGGTGTCCAACGCGCCCGTCGAGGACAGCATCACCGTTCGCGGTGGCGGCGCCGGGGGCAAGAGGGGGCAGCAACAGCAACAGCAGCAGCAGCAGCAGCAGCAGCAGGGGAAGGGGAAGGGGCAGCAGCAGCAGCAGGGGAAGCAGGGGGGGGATGCCGCGGCGGGGAGCATAAAGCTGACGCTCAAACTTGGTAAAGCCGCCCTGCGCGCCGTGACGACGGACTGGACGCCGCCTCCGACTGACCGTGCGGCAGGACACGACTCGAGCAGCGATGAGGAGGACGAGGAGGAGGATGTGGACGCCGAGGGCGAGGACGACGACGAGGTTGATGCCGAGGGCGAGGACGAAGACGAGGACGCTGAGGGCGAGGACGAGGAGGACGACGGGCTCAATGACGAGGATGCTGAGGGCGAGACGGACGACGAGGAGATGGTCGATTCCGACGAGGATGCCGAGGGGACACCGGAGTTTGGGAGCAGGGGGGGCACCCCCGATATGAGCCGGCTGACGAAGCGGCAAAAGAGCAAGCTGGACGAAGTCTACAGTGCCGACCTGCTAGAGCTGCCGGCAGGCATCGGTATGTTTTTTCCCGCACCCCCCAGAGTAGCTAACACGACACTACCGCAGCGCCCCTTACTAACACCCCTGTAGAGCGGCCCAGCGCGGCCAAAGCCATCCCCCTCACCGCGGACGAGCAGGCGCTCAAGCGCGCCGAGATGGCGCGGCGCCGCAAGAACCTGACGGACCAGCGGCTCGAGGAGGAGAAGATGGACACCATCAACAAGCTGCTCAAGAAGCAGACGCCCAAGATGCGCAAGTCGCAGGGGCGGCAGACGGGCGATGCGACGCCGAACGAGGCGGGCCCGGAGGGCGGCGTGGTCGAGGCGCCCCCGGCGCCGAAGATGGTCAGGTGGGTGAGCAATAAGGACGGCATTCGGGTGGGCGTGCCGGAGAGCTGGTTGGCGGGGCCGGTGGGGAGGGTCTTTATGCCGCAGGGAAGGGGCTGGTGCAGGAGGTGAGTGAGGACGTTGTTCCAATGGAGATTGAGGCTTGATTAAACTGGTCTGGATGGGCGGGTTTGGTTTGGTTTGGTTTGGTGGGCACGTGTAGTAGATACAGGGAGTCTTTTTCGTGAATATTAATGTCTTGGTTTTGGTTTGGATTATGTTAATTCGTTGCTGGATATGTTGCTACTGCTACAAATGATAACTACTATTAATTGCTACTGATATCTACAGATTCTGGTGAAAAACTTATTGCGAAAGTCAGCGGTATAAGAGTGGGTTTCTTGGTCTATGCTCACTGCAGGGCTTCTTTTATGGGCCAATCCCTTCGATTCGTCTGGCGGGTGGTTTTCCACGCCCTACTAGACTGCTGGCAGCTAAAGGATGCTCAACGACAGCCCAAATAGCCTCCGTATATACATAGGCTTCAGGTTGGTTCACAAACATATACACATATATAGCGGGCGTACATTAAATAATATTCAGTTTGTTAACTGCGCATGTACATAGATATATATTATTACTTCCACTACAAAAGGTACTACTACTATTTATACTACATGTACCAACTAGCCCGGCCAGCCTTTCCGCACACTACAGTACCCCTTCACATGACATGTCCTCATACACCTCCCCATACCCACACCCACCATCCCACCACACCTCCTCCACCTGGTACTCCGGCGGTACCAGCGCACACGCAAGCGGGGCATACACACCGTTCATATACACAACACCAACACCGTGCACATACTCCACAGGCTCCATCTCCATCTCCACCTCCATCTTCATCCCCATTTCCACCTCCATCTTCATCCCCATTTCCACCTCCATCTTCATCGGCACCGGCACCGTCTCCATCGGCACCAGCCCCTCCGTCTCATATCCATACCTATACCCATACAAATACAAATACCCACACAGCTGCTCGAACCAGCAGCTCTGGTCACCAGAGTAGTACTCGGGCACGGCCCCGCAGCCCCAGAATGGGCTGTTGAGGATGAGCTGGCGTATGTACTGCATGATCTCTCTGTCTATTCCTGTTAGCCACTACTCTCACATCACCCACGGAGCCGGCCAGAGAAGCCTACCTCGCTGCAAGTACTCGATAAAGTCGTCCTGCCAGATCCATCCATAGCCATTATACGGCCCCTTCTTCTCCTTCGCTAGTTTGTCCTTCGTTGGCGCGCGCCCTCGCGCCTTTTGCTTCGGGCTGTCTGCTTTGCTGTCTGCCTCCTTGTTGGTTGTGGAGGCGGCGGCGGCGGCGGCGGCTGCCCGCTTCGCGGCCGCTGATGTCTTCTTTTCGACTTTGGACTTTTTGGGTAGGGATTTGTGCTCCAGGATGGACTTGAACTCGATGCTTGTCATGACCTGGATGGGGAAGAGGTCGCTGGTGTCTCTAGGGCGGCGTGAGGGTGACATTTTGGATTATAGATTGTGGTATAGTATGGTATAGTATGGTATAGTATGGTATGGTATTATGTATGTATATGTACGGCCGGGAACGGGGAGCGGGGACGGGGAATTAAGAGGAGAATTAAGATGGTAGAAGAATCGAGAAGCTAGCTGGTATAATAGAAAGGAAGTAACAAAATTTTTTTTTTAAAAAAAAACAACCGTGGATAAACATTTATATATCCCAAACCACCACTGCCCGAGTGAGCCCCCCGATCTCCCTCCTCGCTCTTAGACCTGCCTACAAGTTAGTTACACAGCTACATAACATACCTACCCAGAGTCCAGTCCTCTCAGACAAGAACAGGAACAAGACAAGGAAGACAAGACAAGACGAGGCACAAAACTGGTACCAACAGCACCATCCGGCTCGCGGGTTAGCCCCCCCCCCCCCCCCCCCCCTCTTCCCCCAGAGAGAGCGTGCATTGCATACCCGCCACTAAAGGCTCCCAAAAGCAAAACGAAAATCTCTCAGACCTACCTATCTGCCTGACTGCTCCGCTCGTACGAGCGCACTCACTCGCTCTCTTGCGACCCGTGACGCCTCACGTACTTGCACACATATATGTAGTTAGGGCAAGTAATCGATAAGTAATCCTCCCAGAGTACCCAACGTGGGGTTTGTGTGTGTGCCCACAGCGCTCTAGACTCCCCCAGGCGCTAGGCCAGGAACGTACACTATTATAATTAGGCCCTCTAGGGGGCCTAAGGGAGTCGCCAGTCCGGATTTCAATATATTGCAGATCGAAACTTGGTATGGGTAGATAGAGCAAGCTTGGTTAATTAAATTAGTTAATTAGTTAATATGTAGTCGTGTGTATATGCCTCGACTACATACATAGCTACTAGAACTAAACCTGCTGCACGGCTGTTATTCGGTACTGTACTATACTGCACTATATTGCGCTGCGCCGATGGCCGGGAGCTTATCAGAAACCTTGCCATCATGATCGCCGGTGCCCTGTATTACCGATCTTACGGAGGCCGCCGCCGGTCTGTCGATGTGATGATGTGTCTCAGCCTTTTAATTTGGTCTTTTTTTTTTTTTTATTTTTTGCGGGTCGAATTCCGCCGCCGGAGAGTAGGAGAATTCCCATCTGCGCGCAATTTCGATGCGCTCCCTCCCTCCCTCCCTCCCTCCCTCCCTCCCTCCCTCCCTCCCTCCATGCACAGTTGGCAAGCAAATAGGAGGCGCATGGAGCTAGGGAGTGAGTGGGTGAGTGAGTGAGAGAGTGAGTGACTGGTGTACTCTGTGTTCTGGCCAAGTATTAATTAAGCTGTGCTAAACTGTGTCAAGTTGGTTGTGTACAATCCCCCATGGCCAAAAGAAAAACCCCTGTATTCGAGCCCAGCTAGCTAGCTCCACAGGTCCAAATTTCTTGAGCAGAAATTGAGCACTTCGATTAGCTGCATGCTTTATTGGTTACTGGACGATTACAACTCTCTTCCTGAAACAGCTAGACCTCCCTGTCCAATACGCTGTTCGACTCAAGCAGCTCGAGAGTCCCTTTTTTCCTTCTTTTTTTATATCAATGTTTTACCTACGTACCCCAGTTCCAAGCATACCACCTGCAGGCTAACACTACCCCATGAAACAAACCCCCCATCCAACAAGGCCCCCACAGAACGTGCAAGACAAACGAGCGTATAAGCGGAGGCACTCAACCAGCTGACCATCCCCACCACCATAATACGATCGTCAAACTACTCTGGACAGCAACAGGAGTCGAAGCAGCGGCAAAGATATGGAAGGAGTTCGCCGAATGGCGGCAGGCGAGGGAAGGACGAGACGTGGACGGTGAGGAGGAGAGGAGAGAAATGGGCTACGGATGGGGGGGGGATTGAGGGACGAGGAGGTAACGAGTTTCGTTTGTTTTTGTTCGTGTTCTTTTGGTCATACTTTGCGAGAGGTGGCGGAGGCAGTTAGGGAATCTGGGGCTAGTGTAATATTTCCATAACTGTAAAGGGTTGCACGCAATTAATAAATTAAACAAAAAAAAAAAAACGACCACCTCCACCAACACGTTCTTCACCACATCTCACTCGACCCACATGTGTCTCACCCCTAACCCTTAGTTTCTGCACACCCCTGACCAGTCAGTAACCACACCTTCCCAACCACAACCCAAGTACCTACACTCACCAAAAAATGCTTCCCCCGGTCCCTGAAGAAACACTGAGTGCCAACCCGCTCTTCAAGGCGCTGTATGAAGACCTCACGACCAAGATCCTGAATCCAGAGGATCTGACGAGCCGATCTTCGTCGCGGGACCATCATGTCCTCGACCAGGTTTGTGATAGCTATAGCTCCATGGCCAAGTATCTACATATCTAGCTAGCTAGCTCGTACGTATCTAGGGCTAACAATTACAATTGGGCCTCCAGGAGCTCCGCACTCACCGCGCAGAGCTCGCAAAATCGCAGCTCCTCCAGCGCGAGCTCGAGACGGTGACCCGCGGGGCCGGATCTTCACTCTTACCGGATGAGGTACGTACATACGGGGGTGTATATCATATTATGTACCATCTCGAAAATCAAGAAGCTCACACACATACACAGCTCCAAGAGATAATCGACCTGGCCATCAACGCGCCACGCACGCCCGCAGACCTCCCACTGCTTTCCGCCACCATCGACGATTTCCACGCCTCGCTTCCACTCATCGGGCAGGCGATCTCAAGGTCACTATCTGACTCGGCGCTCGACATCGCCAGGATCGCATATCCAGACGGTACTCTCTCCCCCACTCCACCCTACCCACCCCACTCCGCCTCCTTCCCACCCAAATACTAACCCCCTCCGGTCACACAGACACCAACCCCCTCCTCCTCGACAGCAAGCTCGACCACCTCCCCGCCGACGCCGCCCACCGCCGCAAAACCCTCCTCCACACCACCTCCCACCTCACCTCCCTACGCAGCACCATCACCACGCTCACGCAGCAAGTCCTCAGCGCCTACAGCACGCTCACCACGCTCTCACTAACCCACACGCACAGCAGCAGCGGGGTGCTAGTTGCGGCGCAGGGCGCGGCCGTGGCGCGGGCAGCGCACATGGCCGTTGTGGCGAGCAGCATGGAGGGCAAGCTGGGCGTGCTGCGCGCCGAGGCGGTCCGCGCCGTGTATGACGATGCGGCGGTGGAGGCGCTGGCAAACTACCGGGTGCATCTGCAGGACACGCGGGCGCGGCTGCTGGCGCGGCGGAGGACGGTGGAGGGCGAGCTGGAGAGGTATGCGAAGGCAGGGAGCGACATGGTGGGGTTGGTGGAGAGGTATGGGGCTGTGATGCGGGGGATCGAGGCGGTCGGGAGGGATATTGTGAGGTTGGGGGGAAGGGTGTGATGTGGGGGGGGGGGGTGTGGAGTGCGTGGCTTGCGATTGTGGGTGTGACTTGGGTTTGGGTGTTGGCGGGAAGTTTTAGTCGCTTTAGTTAGTCCGAGCCTTGCTAATAGCGAGAGAGGGAGGTTTTGCAGATAGATAGATGGAGTGGGCACTGTCTGTCCACAGGGATGCGGAGTCGTGCGTGCAGAGTTCCCAAAAATCCACAGCTAGTCCATGTCCTTGGCCTGTGCGTTGCAGGAGTTTCCATACCTACATACATGTAACATGTATGTAACTAACATCCTCAGTATAACTAACATCGTGCAATTCTTGATATCGATTTTCCTAGGCCTGTCTCACATTTCATTTCCCTGGACGTACATTATACATGTGAACCCCTGCAACCATCACCATCACCCTCACTGCGGATCCTACACCTCCGCTCGCCGGTTGCAAAGCCTATCTCAATGAGCTGGTAGGTGTAATTTAGGTCTGCTGCAAGATGGCCTGCATATATTATTGCCAACTGGGCCAGAGCGTTCAACTGAGATTTCAAGTAGTACTGAGATATACGTGTATATCAAAGCTAAATGTGTGTCGTAAATATATCAAAGTTATCTGGATGTGTCATATATTTATGTACGTGCTTAATTAATTTTCAATGCTCCCATCTAATGTCAAGGGAGTAGCCGAGTCCTTGCATACATGTAACTACATGTACTAGCTACATATACACAGTACATGATATGATAGAAAGCCATCCGCTGTTCAAAACAGGTACATTATCACTAGCTAAGTCAAGAGCTAGTACCAGAATGGCACGTGCAGGAGCCAGCAGGAATATCCTACTACTCTGGAGTAGGGCAAATTTTCCACGATAATAGCCCGGCCTCGTATTACCGCCATAACTCGAAAAAATTGGCTAGATTAAAACTTCTTGTATGGAAATTTCTAAAGCAGATCGATGCCATTCAACCAATCACTCGAGTGGTAATCCCTGGATAGCCAATTTTTCGGGTATACGTAGATCAGATCCACAGCTTGGTAGAGCTAGCAATATTGCCGGAGAAGAGCTCTATTGGCTTAACCAGCCCATATACTTGCTTACCAGAAAAAGAACCAGAAAATGCGGTTGCTCAGGGCAAGGATGGTTTGTATGGAGTGGCGCCGTTCTCTCATACAAATAAATAATCCCTGTTTCCGTCACTAGCTTGCTGTTCAGACCCTCTCGCTATACCGGCCTTGTGTTTTTATCTATGCTTCTCGCACGAGACATTGCCCATACCAGGCAATTTAACTAAATCGCCCCGTTAGGCTTAACACTCAGGCCAGCCAGCCATCCACCACCCGAACCCCGGCCCCCCATAGGCCATGGATTTAAAGTTTGGGCCAATCTCGCGGTACATGCCCACAACTCAACCTTCCAGCGGGTAAGTGAACTGGCACAGTATCAGTACGGGAGCGGGTCGAATGAATACTCTATGCCACCCTAGTGGAATATACCGGCCGGCAGTGGTGCTTCCGCAATTAATGCCAAACATAAGTAATCGACTCTCACCCACATACACCAGCTCTAGCTCTATCTATCACATGTCTGTAGGTAGAGTACTATGTATGAAAACCTAGCTGGCAGCAGGCTGGACCTACACATATATATGACTATAAACAACTAACACTAACTAATCGTAATCGATCGTGGATGGCCGTACGTCTCCAACCCCAATACTTTACTGAAGAGGATCGAGTTGTATGATTAAATTAAAGAAGTAACGAGAGGAGAAGGAACAGACTCCTTTTATAATTAACAAAGTCGTGGCTGCTAGGTGAACTCCAAAGTCAATGAGAGGGTTTATTCCTACTTTGCTGCAATTCAATTTTGAGGGGGTATAAATGGGTATAATACTGTTCCACTTTGCTCGCAACTCAATATGCCGGATTGCCAAGATTCGAGGGATTTCGTACGGGATAGCAAAAAATCCGGGATAGCAAATTGATTTTGCAGTAATAAAATTAAAATCTCAGAAGATTTCGTACGGGACAGCAAGGGATCCGGCGTATTGAGATCCGGCATATCGAGTTGCAACTGTATGTACAAAAATACAAAACTTCAAGCTCTAATAACCTTCATAACTAGAATAGATATCAAACATCTGGAAAGACAAACTAAACTTTATTACTAGTACTTGACTTTGTCTTTCCCGATTTTCTTTAGCCCTTCTTGTCGAAAAGTTTATTAGCCATCGACTTTGCGCATGAACTTTCAGTTACCTTTAAGAGCGGGTGCACCATACTAATAACAGAGTAAAAACAACAACAGGCACTCTATGGGACGAACTACAACAACAAACACAGCCCATGCTCGCAGTGAATCATGTCAGCTAGGAAAGGGTATCTATATACATAAAGAAGGTAGGTAGGTACATGTATGTGTGTGGCGGAAGTGCTGCCTCATCAGGCCGTGCACCCTCCAACCAATCAACCACAGACCCTAAGTAGAGCACTTCTGTATCCAACCAGCCAACCAGCCAAGTCAGGGCCTCGAAACAAGCACTGCCAATTACGCCATCCCGCCAAGCCGCCTCCCCACCTACAACCCCGTTCGGCAGTTCTACGCAAGCAAACCAAACATTACTCGAGCCCTAAGGAAAAGTAACCTTAGACAGCCAGCGTAGCCTCAGTAGAGTAATAATAAAAAAAAAACCCCAAGTTACTGAACCACCCCCCCCTAACCAACAAAAAAAACGCATTCCTCCCCTCCCCCACAAATGCGCCCAGCAGCAGCAGCACTTCTGACCCCACTCCTCCGGCGCAGCGTCTACAGCGGGCGAAACAGCACAAACATCGTCACTACTACCACCACCACCACCACCACCCTTCGCGCAAGTACAGCGTCTATTACACAGTTCAATCCCCCCCATTCGTCCGCTCAGCAGAAGAGAGCCATGGCCAGCACCAGCAGAGGCATCAAACCGGCACGAAGAGTCACTGGGCAGCGGAAGGATGTTTGGTATGTGGCGTGGACTCTTACTTGTCTCTCCTCTCCACTGGTTTTACCACAAGCTGGAGAGAGAGAGAGAGAGACCTGACCTTGTCTGTCTGTCTGTCGCTGATGGAATTGTGCACTCCACAGGTCCACCGTGAATGAAGCCGCAGCGGAGGCAGCTGCTGAGGGGAAAGACGTCATTAACCTCGGCCAAGGGTTCTTGTAAGTTTCACCTCCCCCCTCCCCTACCCCCCACCCCACACTAACCCACCTCACCCCCCCACCCCCAGCGGCTACAACCCCCCGGCATTCGTCCTCGACGCCGCCAAACAAGCGCTCGACCGCGTCGAATGCAACCAATACTCGCCGACGCAGGGCCGTCTGCGGCTCCGCCAAGCGCTGTCCAAAGCCTACTCTCCCTACTTCAACCGCACGCTCGACCCCGCCTCGGAGATTGTCATCACCTCCGGGGCCAATGAGGGCATGCTCTCGGCCTTCATGGCCTTCATCGAGCCCGGCGATGAGGTCATCGTCATGGAGCCCTTCTTCGACCAGTACATCTCCAACATCGAGATGGCCGGCGGCGTCGTAAAGTACGTCCCGCTGCACCCACCCGCCAAGGGCGACACACAGACATGCCCGGCCAGCGACTGGAAGCTCAACCTCGACGAGTTCAAGGCGGCCGTCACCGACAAGACGCGGATGGTAGTCATCAACACGCCGCACAACCCCATCGGGAAGGTATTCTCCAAGAGCGAGCTGGAGGGCATCGCACAAGTGTGCGTGGACAACAACATCCTCATTCTCAGCGACGAGGTAGGCTACCACCCCACCCCCCACCTTGGGCCCAGTCTGTGTTGCAATTGCATGTCAAGCGTTAACAGAGCCAGGTGTACGACCGCCTCTTCTACACGCCCTTCACGCGCATCGCAACGCTCTCCGAGGCCGTCAACAACATCACCATCACCGTCGGCAGCGCCGGCAAGAACTTCTACTGCACGGGCTGGCGCGTCGGCTGGCTCATTGGCAAGCCCGAGCTCATCAAGTACTGCGGCGCCGCGCACACGCGCATCTGCTTCTCGTCTGTGTCGCCGCTGCAGGAGGCGGCCGCCATCGGCTTCGAGGAGGCCGATGAGCGCGGGTTCTGGGACCAGAGTAAGGCCGAGATGAGGGCGAAGATGGACAAGTTCAACGAGGTGTGGGATGAGCTTGGGCTGCCTGTATAACCACCCCCCCCCCCAAATCCTCTCCCATATCCCCAGAAGCTAGTCTGCTAACTAGGTGTGTAGTACACTGACCCCGAGGGCGGCTACTTCGTGCTAGTGAACCTCAGCAAGGTGAAGCTTCCCGAGGGCTACCATTTCCCGGCACATGTAGCGGAGCGCGCGCGCGACTTCCAGCTGGCGTGGTTCCTGATCAAGGAGCTTGGGGTGGCGGCCATCCCACCAACAGAGTTCTACACGGCCAAGAACGAGAAGGAGGCGGAGAACTATCTGCGGTTTGCGGTGTGCAAGGATGACCAGGTGCTGGAGGCGGCCAAGGAGAAGTTGAGGAGGTTGAGGGAGTTTATGTAGTGTGCGGTTTTGGTGGGAGGGGTTGGGGGATGCGGTAGTGTGCTGGGGTGTGTGCTTTTGTGGGGGATTGTGGGGAGGGGAGGGGAGGGGAGGGGAGGGGAGGGGAGGGGATGGGATGGGATGATGGGTGCGTTAGATGTAACGCGCATGCTATTTGTACCTATGTACTCTACAGTGTGTGTTCCACTATAGCTATATTACAAGGCAGAGTATTTATTATTCTACATGGTGTATCTGCTGTGACACACGCCCTACATATATACCCATACCCATACCCATAGCTTAAGTATGTAGAGCTCTCCCTCCATCCATCACAACTCCATCCATTGCAACCATAGTTTGGTCGGTTACACAGCACCTGCCCACCTACCCACCCACCACCCACTACAACCCACTTCACCCGTAATTACCCCGAACCCCCGACACAATCACAACCTCTCACTCGCACCCAATCCTCGGCTATCCGCTTATCGCGCTATCGTATCTTATCTTATCGCGCTCCCTACCCACCCTACCCTCCCTCGCCCTGCCAGCCACTAACTACCGGAAAGCTCCCCGACTCGACTCGGCTAGCCAATGCCGTCACGGCACCCCAAGAGTGGGCAAGGCAGCACAGCAGGGAATAAACCTTTTTTTTTTTTTTTTTTTCTTCCCTCCGCCACGCCACGGGCCGAGGAGGAGAAATCCTGGAGTGACGACAGGGGAAGGGGGGGATGAGTAATTTTGTAGTTGGGGGGAGGATACTCTACTAGTACTTGTAGGCTGAACTTTGGAGTGACCTTTACTCTGCTCTCAGTCTCGAGCATACCTGGAGTCGCGGGGGTGTTATATATACTATTTTACCTGAGTGGCTATTTTATTCTATTCTGTTCTGCTTTACGTGCTATAACCTAACTAGAGTACCTACTCTAAATACTCTATATCTCACGATATCGATATCACCTATTACCAGTCCCACCATGGCCTCCCAAAAGCCATACCGCGACTACTCCGACGGCGAGCTCTCGCCCACCTCCTCCACCTCCACCTCCTCCTCCAACTCCCTCGAAATGCTCACCCCCCTCTCGCCGCCCTACTCCCCCTTCGACCAAGAGCCCTACGACCCACACGAATCGTCCAAATCACTCCTCCCGCAAGAACCACAACTCCCCCGCCCCTCCTCCGCCCCTTCGCCCAACAAATCGCTCTGGCCGCGGGCGAAAGCCACGCTCTACAGCAACCGCGGCATCCTGCTCGTGCTGCTGTCACAGTTCTTCGGCTCGGTGATGAACCTTGCGACCCGCATCCTCGAGACGTCGTTCCCGGAGCAGCGCTTCCATGCGCTGCAGATACTGTTTGCGCGGCAGAGCATCACGTGCGTGCTGGTGTGGGTGTGGCTGTGGTGGAGGAGTGTGCCAGATGCGCCGTGGGGGCCGCGGGGGGTGCGGTGGCTGCTTGTTGCGCGGGGCGTGGGCGGGTTCTGGGGTGTGTTTGGGCTGTATTGTAAGTTGTTCCTGGGGGTTAGGGTTATAGACTCTGTCCGCGGGGTGTTGAAGTCAATGGAGTAGAGTAGAGTAGAAGACAAAAGCTAACAATGAGGAAACCACAGACTCACTATCATACCTCGACCTCTCCGACGCCACAGTGATAACCTTCCTCTCCCCCATCGTCGCAACCTTCGCCTGCTCGCTCATCCCCTCCCTGCACGAACCCTTCACGCGCGCGCACCTCCTCGCCTCCCTCGTCTCCCTCCTCGGCGTGGTCCTCATCGCCCGGCCCACATCCCTCTTCACCTTCTCCCGCAGCTCCGACGACTCCTACGAGTCCGTCCCCAGCACGCCGACCGCGCGCTCCCTCGCCCTGCCCCCCTCCCTCACAGCCACCCCGCACCAGCGCCTCGTCGCCGTCCTCGTCGCGCTCCTCGGCGTCCTCGGCGCCGCGTCAGCGTTCACCACAATCCGCTGGATCGGCAAGCGCGCACACCCGCTGCTGTCGGTGAACTACTTTAGCAGCTGGTGCGCGCTGGTGTCGCTTGTTGCGCTGCTTGCCGTGCCGAGCGTCGGCGGGATTGTGTGGCCGAGTGGGGTTGTGCAGTGGGCGCTGCTGGGCGGGATCGGGGTGAGTGGGTTTGTGATGCAGTTTTTGCTGACGAAGGGGCTGCAGGTGGAGACGGCGGGGAGGGCGACGGGGATGGTGTATGCGCAGATGGTGTTTGCGGTGGGGTGGGAGCGGCTGGTGTGGGGGAGTGTGCCGGGGGTGTTGAGTGTGGTGGGGAGTGTGCTAATTCTAGGGAGTGTGGTGTGGGTGGGGGTGAGGAAGGGGAAGGGGGGGAAGGAGGAGAGGGGTGTGAGGGAGGCGGGGGGCGATGAGGAGGCAGTGCCGTTGGGGAGGTGGGAGGAAGAAGGGGAGAGTGATGGGGAGAGGGGGGTGGGGGGTGAGAGGAGGTGGGGGGTGAGAGGAGGTAGAGGGGTGTAGATAGACCCAATGTGGACGCCGAGTGATGGCGCATGATCCTTATGATCCGTATACGCATAATCGTAAATAAAGATATTAAACCTCGAGTAGTTCTACTACGCCTGCGTGATTCAGTCAACTGATGAAAGAAATGAACATAAGGGAAAGGGAAAAATACACTCCTGCCCACCAGCGAGTGTGCAAACACCAGCACTCACGCACACCACATGGACTCATCGCAACAAAAGTAAAGCCCCTCCTATACACACATAGTCAGTATCGTAACCCATAAAGACCCAGAGCGAGTAGCGTGGAAAGTACATACACCCACCGCACCAGGAAGTTATAACGCCGTGATCATGATGCTAGTATTGTGTCGGTGTTGACATCGGAGTTGACGTCGGAGTTGACGCCAATGACGTGGCTGTCTCACGTACTCGTGATTCACCAAACCCCACCTCACTGTAGATTGATAGCCAGATTGTTGGATCTGTAAATACCCAGATATATTAACGAGTACAAGCCCTTTTTTCGCAGGAGTGGAAGCAGTGATGCCGCCGACGCGCCGCCGTACTAGCCCGCGACGTGGTTTATGCCCAGTCTGGCATGCGAGTGATGGCTTGTGATCCGGAGCAGGTAGGGTATGATTGGCATACGAGTAGCTTTGTTGTGTAGAAGGGTAGGTTGGTATGGTATATATATAGTTAGCGGGGGCTGTTTACGTGCGATGTTTAAGGGAGTTGTGGTTGCGGTAGGGTGAGAAAGTGTCGATCGTATGATACGTATATATATTGGATATCGTGGTTCATATGCTGATCATGTACTGTGTGCGGATGTTGCCACTGGTGGTAAGCACACCAGAGACCTGCAACACAAACATGTGTGCTTTTTGTAACGGTTTGTAGAGACCGTGGTGTTTTGGCCTAGCTGCTGGTTCTACTCTAGGTTCTTGATCTATACAGGCTCGAGGGAGATTCATGGGTTTTCGTCTTCTCTTGCCACGATTTACGGCCATAGAGTACATAACTATAAAACCAGCGGTGGCGGTATTCAAATGCTTATTTCTTTTCTTCTTATTTCCACTATACATGTGCATATACACACTTCCCAGACTGCAATCCCGTAATTGGTAACCTATAAACACGGTTCACTGTCCCGCCCCCATATCCAGTGCTCTGTGTAGCTGCCCCTCTACTGAGCTGGGCTCGACGCACCACTAGCTCTCCACGACGATAGGATCAGGCTCACAATCTCGTCCACCCCCTTTCCGTTCTTCACCTGCGCGAAGATGGTCGGGCCTCCCTCACTATTTTAACGTACTTCCTATCAGCGATCACTCAGAAGGATGAAGGGGGGGAGAATGGACAATACGAACCGCATTTTCCTGGAATCACGATCCATCACGCCAAGGTCTGCGCCCACAATCTCTGCGAGGTCTGTCTTGTTCACCACAAGTAGATCGGACTGCGTGATACCCGGGCCACCCTTACGGGGGATCTTGTCGCCTCCAGAGACATCGATCTAGCGCAGCCGTAGTTCGACAATTAGTACCCAAATCCTCGATAACGGGGTGGGGGGAGGTTTGTGCTCTCGTACAACGTATATGATAAAGTCCGCCAGCTCCCTAGAGTAGTTTGCAGCGAGATTGTCGCCGCCACTCTCGATAAGGAGCAGCTGGGTGTCAAACTCGCGGTGCAGGTCCTCGAGAGCTTGCAGGTTTGCGCTGATGTCCTCGCGGACTGGGGTCTTGTCAGTAGTCTTACAAGGGCGGGGCGTTGGTATAGCGTGTTGGTACGCTACTTACCTGCAGCATGAGGGCAGCCGCCAGTCTCAATGGCCTTGATCCTCTCCGCCGGGAGGGCCTGGTGGCGCACAAGGAACTCTTGGTCCTCCCTACAAGGGTCTTCTGTCAGCTCCAAATAGCTAGCTACTTGCCAGCCGCAGAGTCAATGCGAGCTTCGTGGGGATCAATTAACTGACTTTGTGAAGATATCGTTTGTGACTGCGGCGATGGAGAATCGGTCTCTCAAGGCCTTGCACAGCTCGAGCATCAACGCTGTCTTTCCCGAGCCTACGGGTCTAATCTATACGTTAGTAAAAAGAAACACATAGCGACGTAGAGGAGGCGCTTCTGACCCGCCAATTCCAACCGTGAAGGCACGTTCCTTCCAGTCGCGGTCATCGAAGATGGGCGCCTCGCGGGCTAGGTACGAGCCAGGGCCGTCGAGAATCTCGTGTGAGTGACCGTGGGCGTCAAGCGTGTCGTGGGAGTGGGTGTGAGACATATTTGGTGTTTTGGGGTGGGGCGGGGGCGTTTGGCGGGGTTGGTGGTTGGTGGTTGGTTTAAAGGTCGGGTGTGGCGGGGGAGCTGTGCTGCGTGCATGTGGGTTAGGTTCTGGAAACCGCACAGGTCAAGTGCGGGGTGCTTTATCGTTTATCGGCGGTCCTGCACGACGACCGCATGGACCTTCCTTGACGAGTAAACAGGGCATTCACCTTGGAATAAGATGTATCTAACTGAGAAATCGATATTGCGCACTCGCCAAATACTACTAGTAGTAAAGTACCCATGCTCAGCACAGTACCGCAAAATCTGAGTTCGTTCGGACGGTTGCCAAGAGCGGTGTTGGCTGTAATCCTGCCGTAAAAGGCTCTGATCTCTTCCTTTAAGGGTGATATTTTTCAGCTCCTCTGCAAAGCTGTCCTCTTGGCAACCGTCCGAACGAACCCAGATTTTGCGGTACTAGCTGCACAGATAACGGTGGATCGAATTAAGACTTCCCGAAAACAATTGAAACGTAGACCTTCACCTTTCCACGTTAGTCTTCCAGTTCAGAAGAGGTGTCTGGGTGAGTGGTGGAAGTGTCTATGTGTACGTGTAGCTATCACAGGTCTTCCGATAGCATATACATGTATTCATGGCTATAAGCATGTATATCATCTCCATATACCTTTTGCTGGCGGCACCCTTCAACGCTTGATCATGATAAACTACATATCCCCCACCAAAGCTTAAGACTTATATTCAATCCTCAAATAATCGATTAGTACGTGCTTATATGTTCTGGGTTCGGCGCTTTCCGTCGTAAGAATTAACGTACATCAAATCGCAATATAACGATTTTAAGGCCATATAGGGAGCTTACTATTAATACGTATAGTTAAATACTGGGTGCTTGCACATAACACTAAGGTAAGTATATGTACTTACATGTATGTACATGTAGTCTAATCTCCAAAGGGCCAGGTACATAAACATCATATTATCGGTTCGGGGCCGGTCTTCGAGTCATAGAAGTTGCTCTGTATGAAATGCAGGCCGCACATCAGCTTGAGGCTATGCCTCAGGGCTCAACAAATCTTGAGTGAAGTATGTTTTTACCTAATAGATAAACCTAGAGATCATCGCAGCTTCATGCATCGACCCTTGTTGGTCCAACGAATCAGCTAAAACTAGCTTCAAGCAACATTTTATCCTGTAGCACATACACCTATAGTTCGTTGAAACCCATATAATTCTGAAGTAGTGAAGAAGCAGCTAGAAGTTAAGGTCATACCCAGTAGATTTTCTTGAAATAGGGCGCTCGGCACGTTTCATAGTATTGGAAGATTTTCATTATTACATTATATTTGTCATCGGCGCATGACTCACTCATGACTCACTTTCCTATTAGTCATTCTATTACTCATACGTCTATGACTCATTGTATTTCTTTTGTACTACCTTTCTTTAGTATAAATATGGGGCATTCCCCCTTAGCTAGAACAATAACACGATCAATTACTTCACTCTCCTACATACTTTCTCTAGATTTAAAAGGAGCAAATACCCATAATTCTCCCATATCGGCCTGTTAGACCTAGACCTCACAAAAATACTATCAATTCTCACTACCTCTCCCTATAAACCGAGCTAGCTTAATCCAAAGCACATAGGAGATAAAGAAATAAGAAAATAAGAGAGAGGTTTATATGTGCACAGCACGGAAGATCAAGCTTAAATGGTAACGCAAAAAGACGCCAATGTACGAATATGGCATGAAGAATAAGATATCACTATGGTAGTTCAGGAACCAAAATCTTTCGTAATATCTTAACAGATTGAGACGAACTCAGAGTACTGGGGTGGTCCTTCCCCAGGGATTTCTCACGCCCAGCCAGTGCACGCTCGTACCACTCCAGTGCCTTGCCATATTCGCCTTGCCTCTCGAACACCGAAGCCATGTTGTGGACCGTGGAGAGAGTACTGGGGTGGTCCTTCCCCAGGGATTTCTCCTCTCCAGCCAGTGCACGCTCGTACCACTCCAGTGCCTTGCCATATTCGCCTTGATTGTAGAACACCGAAGCCATGTTGTGGACCGTGGAGAGAGTACTGGGGTGGTCCTTCCCCAGGGATTTCTCCTCCCCAGCCAGTGCACGCTCGTACCACTCCAGTGCCTTGCCATATTCGCCTTGATTGGAGAACACCGAAGCCATGCTGTGGACCGTGGAGAGAGTACTGGGGTGGTCCTTCCCCAGGGATTTCTCCTCCCCAGCCAGTGCACGCTCGTACCACTCCAGTGCCTTGCCATATTCGCCTTGACTCTCGAACACCGAAGCCATGCTGTGGACCGTGGAGAGAGTACTGGGGTGGTCCTTCCCCAGGGATTTCTCCTCCCCAGCCAGTGCACGCTCGTACCACTCCAGTGCCTTGCCATATTCGCCTTGACTCTCGAACACCGAAGCCATGCTGTGGACCGTGGAGAGAGTACTGGGGTGGTCCTTCCCCAGGGATTTCTCCTCCCCAGCCAGTGCACGCTCGTACCACTCCAGTGCCTTGCCATATTCGCCTTGACTCTCGAACACCGAAGCCATGCTGTGGACCGTGGAGAGAGTATCGGGGTGGTCCTTCCCCAGGGATTTCTCACGCCCAGCCAGTGCACGCTCGTACCACTCCAGTGCCTTGCCATATTCGCCTTGCCTGGAGAACACCAAAGCCATGCTGTGGACCGTGGAGAGAGTATCGGGGTGGTCCTTCCCCAGGGATTTCTCCTCCCCAGCCAGTGCACGCTCGTGCCACTCCAGTGCCTTGCCATATTCGCCTTGCCTGGAGAACACCGAAGCCATGCTGTGGACCGTGGAGAGAGTATCGGGGTGGTCCTTCCCCAGGGATTTCTCCTCCCCAGCCAGTGCACGCTCGTACCACTCCAGTGCCTTGCCATATTCGCCTTGATTGTAGAACACCGAAGCCATGCTGTGGACCGTGGAGAGAGTATCGGGGTGGTCCTTCCCCAGGGATTTCTCCTCCCCAGCCAGTGCACGCTCGTACCACTCCAGTGCCTTGCCATATTCGCCTTGATTGTAGAACACCGAAGCCATGCTGTAGACCGTGGAGAGAGTATCGGGGTGGTCCTTCCCCAGGGATTTCTCACACCCAGCCAGTGCACGCTCGTACCACTCCAGTGCCTTGCCATATTCGCCTTGATTGTAGAACACCGAAGCCATGCTGTGGACCGTGGTGAGAGTATCGGGGTGGTCCTTCCCCAGGGATTTCTCACGCCCAGCCAGTGCACGCTCGTACCAAGGTAGGGATTCATTGAAGCGATGTCTTTTGTCATAGTAGCCAACTAAAACATCTACCGCATTCACTGTCTCTAAGAAAGGTATATCTTGGGCTTCGGCGTGTCTCAGAGTAGTGACTATATGTGATGTAAAAGTCTCACATATACCCCACGTCTCATTACCTCCAGCTACGTTGGGTCTAAATGCATTTTCTGTCAATGCAATCGCTATTAATATAAAAAGCCTTTTGTCTTCCGGACTTATGAGACTCTCGCTCATATCTCGAGTCAGATCATGCATCCAGATAGTACCTGCTCCTTTCCTTCGAAGAAGTGCGCAGGTTTGGAGGCACGCTATTGCTTGCTCTAGCTCCTTCAGATCCGGATCTAGTAGAAGTCTTTTTAGATATGCGGTAAACTCGGCCTGTGGGTTGATGACAACGACCTTTTCGGCAAGAAAATCGGCCATTTTCTTCGTCTTAGCGGCCTCTGAGAAAAGATTCAAATGTAGATTTTGATGATCCAAGTAAGAAATTATTTTTAAAAGGATAATAGCTTCAGGTGTGATTCCTTGTATTGTAAGCATGAATGATGAGTGGAAGTCGGAGCTACTGGTCCCCTTTAGCTTCAATGTCTCCAGCTTTTGTTTTCGTAGTTGATCAAGGTACCGTTCGAGGGTCCAATCCCGGTCCATAGCATAAGAAGTGCCCTGCTCCAAGGCAAGAGGCAGGCCTCCAAACTCACGATTGAGCTCAGCTGCCAATTTCCGCAATCCGGAATCCACACATGGGGTATGTTGCCCCATAATATTGAGTATCAAATCGATCCCGTCATCGTCCCCCATTGGCAAAAGCTCAAGCATCCCCGCCGATCCTAGGTATCTTGCTATATTCCTATCCCGCATTGTGAAGATAATTGAGCCTGATGAAACTGCAGGAATGAAATCATGAACAGTGGCGATCTCGAGAACGTTATCGAATATAATAAGCCAATCGGAGTTGTTTACCAGCCACCCCTTGACTTGTTCAATTTCGAGTTCCGGCTCATTGGATGCTGCCCGACGTAAGCCAAGGAGACCACAAAGAGATTGGTAATCCTGAATAAGTTGTTCCCTTGCTGTTGCCTGGAAGTGGAAAATATTTGGGTACAAGGTAGTATTTTTAGTCGCATATCTTAGGGCGAGTTGGGTTTTTCCGGCACCGGGCATTCCATAAATTGCTACCCGCTTGGTCGAACCTGAAGAACGTGCATTATCCAAAAACTGACCTATTTCTTCGAGTTGCCCGACCCGGCCCGTGAATCGTGGGTGTAGAATATTTGGCATAAAAACTATTTTTTGGTGCGGACCCGCCGCCGGAGTACCTCCCATAGCCCCTAGAAAACAGTTTCATTAAAACCTGCGGTTGTTGTATAGATAATTGCTTTATGATGAATTCTCACCTTGGGATTGAACTCGAAGCCCAACTATTTAGAAATTAGGACAGGTCATCAAATGAGTGATTAATATCTTTAACTTACTATTCCTTGTCATTGTCATGTGCTCAATGTGTGCGGCTTGCTCAACTTCTTGTGTATGAGCATCTATCTTCTGTGACAACTCATCAAAGGGTTTGCACAGCGGCCCTAAGATAGACGCTGCAAGTTTTCCTATCCAATTATTTAGATTTCACTTTGGTTATCAAATAAACAAAAGCATTAAGGTATCTTACGCAACTTCGATCGGGCATAGAATTTTGTCGTCTCCAAACAAAACTCTATAATATCGCAGTAAAATGTCACGACCCTTGAGTCAAGAAGATTCGTCCTCCCATACAGACTGAGAATATGCGAAAACCGTTCAACACAGAGTGATATCTTCTCCAAAATAGTGCATATCTTCTCGTATGTACGGAATATGTCCTGGGATATCTATGCATTTAAATGAAATCGTCAAAGGTTGCCACTATATTTGACCTAGCCTGATCATAAGCCTACCAGGATAACGAATTTGACGCCGCTCCATGCAAGAGCCGCTATTTCGGGATCTAAAATATTGCATATTAGAGAAAATATTGTTTGTACAACGTGCGCACATAGCTGCTAGAGCTCTAAGGTACTACATGTAGGTATGGCAATCTGTATAAGGTCATGCTAGTACTCACGGGACTGTATAGCTATTTCTATAACTTTAGAAAATCGGTCCAACTTCTCAATATAAGCGGGAGTAATCTTGTGTATTAGGTTTGTTGCAGTGCTTCTCCCTGACTCATTTTTAACTTTCGCGTCCTTGATAGCTTGTAAGACGTCGCCGATGCTAGCATTCTTTTTAAGAAGAGCTAACTCTTCGTCCTTGAGTTTTCTCTTCCTGTTTAATCCTTCGTAAGTTTCGAGGGCGTTTTTGTACGCATCTGATAGAGAATTCGTAACCGACATGTTGTGAATAGTGTTTTCGGACGATATCAGATCAACTGATCGATTGTTGAGTTGGCAAGAGTACCTACCTCAGAGAGGGGGCGTTGATTTCTGTTACACGAGAGAGCTTTTTAAGTATACCTATCATTGGTCGAACCTACATGATAGTCGGGCCAATAGAACTATCGTGCTACTTACATGTACCTACAGTATGTATGTACTCGCGACCAGCAACAAGAACCCGAATATGCAGCTGCAAGTCTTTGGTGTATTTTTGACTTCTACTCCAATGGAAATTGCAGATTAGGACGTGCATTTTCGGGTTCTTGTTGCTGGTCGCGAGTACTCGGGGCAGGCAATAAGAACCTGAAAATGCAAGCTGCAAGCAGGTGCTCAATTTGGTGTAGCTTTTCGCCAGCCGCGAATCAGAGGTTGTTACCATCAAAAGTCATTTTCAGGTTCTTCTTACCTGCCCCGAGTACCTACTCCGCTTATCTAGGTCTATGCGGCACAGACGGCATTAGCGGCGGCTTATTGGACTCGGATCTAGGTACAGTACATGTAGAGCAGTCTTGTTTCCAGAGTCATGACTGTGCACCATGTGGATCAGCATGTATTGGTACAAGGTATGTATGAGACTAGGGGCTTTACATGACTCCGGAACACTTAAGTTGGCGGACAGGCTAGGGCTGTTAATTGTCAATTGTTTCACAGTAGGGACCGACGAAAACTCCAACCTGTCTGTGGAGGGCTAGATTATCATATAAGAGCTCCGGAATCATACCGGTAAGTATTTATCCATATCCACGGAGCGGGTTGCGAAGGAGACTGTGCTGCAGCTGTTCCTCAATCCTTACTTGTAACGATATCAGCGGTTTCTTTTCTTTTCTTTTTTTTAAATCATATAAATTGATTCTAGGTACAATTACTGCATGCAGGCATAGCCTATGGCATAAAGACCTATCCCCAATGCCAGTTATAGTAGCTATGGTACGCTACCAACCACACTCCTCTTACAAGGACGATGACTAAGGAAACCCCCACCTAAGAAAAAGTGAGAAAAAAAAATTTCCGGATAACACAAAATAAGGAAAAACTAATGATGGCATGATGCCAGTTGCCCACATAGGGGACTTTGGGTGAGTGGTGGTCATCCTTCAAGTTATTGAAAGGAGGGCTTTTGGAGCAGTGAGGTACTGGTGGTCTTTGAGAGGTGACCTTCGAGCTCGATATCCAAAAGGAGGAGATTTTGACTTGCCTTGGCAAATGAAGCCAAAGCAAAGTCTGTAGTGAGGAGTGACCCCGCACTTCACGAACTCTTGGCGGAGTTGAGAAGGGAGTTGACAAGGACAAAAGGGATGATATCAGCGGTTTCGCCTCATGTATAATTATATTTAGGACTCCCTCATTTGAGAATGTTAGCTACAAAGAAGTTTATCTTTTAGTTAATAGGTGCAAACCTACATGTATTTCACTCTAAAAAGGCGTTTAGATTTCGCCTGGAATGTGCATGTATACTCGCGCGTTAATTAAGTAGCCGGATATCATTGCAACCAAATGCTTACTAAAAGCTCCGACCTTTTAATTAACGACTGAGTACACGGCGCGGGTAATTTCAATATCCGCACTAGCACGTCAAACATCAAAAAATTAAATATCCGCCACAGAGAATAGAGAGAGAAAAGAACTATCATTGAAGAGAATGAACTGACTACTAACCCCGCTCGGATTGATCATTATTTTTGAGAAACCACTAGATAATCTTACAAGTCCCAAGGCAACCCCGAATTCCACCATTTTCGTTTATCCTCCGCCCTTCTCATCACATCTTCAATTGCCGTCGCACGGAAACTTTCCCAATCCCCCATAACAAAACCCGAACGCCTTATTAAAATTCCTTATACCCCTCTAGAAAGATCGATGTAGCGCGGAGAAGCTGTGTACGCGCGAAAGATGGTCAAACGCAAACAGATCGTCAGTTCCGGTCCGAACCACCTATTTTAAACACAAGCGAATGAAAAAAATATTCAGATATTGTACATCAAAAGAAATGGGTGAATGGGATGCAAGAATGAAGACGAACAAATTAAAATTGGTACGAACCACTCTCGTATTGTGCTGAAATGTACTGTTCTGGGTTCTTTGCCAAGAAACTGATCAGGTTCTCTATGTGCTCGCGGAGTTTTGAGATAGACTGAGGGTCCATATTTGTATGGGCGAGAAGCTCCGGCATGGAGACTATGACAACAGATTAATATCAAAGTACGAAATCGCCTTCTGCCGAGCTTATCTTCAACTAAATAATCCAAATTGGAAGGGACTTACCAAAAAGCCTTAGCAGATGCTCTGCGCCATAGATCTCGCTCGGCTCCTTCCCGGGGTGCTCCTTTCGAATTTCCAGATACTGCTGTCTCTCAAACCGATATAAAAGAATGGTCCCGAGAGATCGGTCGAAGTAGAGTTTCAACCCGGCAATGACTTCGTCGAAAATATCCGCGTCTGCCGAGCCCTCTCGCTTTTTTGGTACAGATTCGCGATATTTTTGTAGAAGCTGTGTCACATTGAGGTCACGCGGCAAAGGAACAAGCTGCTGATTCTTAGTGACGTTCTCCCAATCGTCGACAAGCAGCGCTTTCAAGTTGTCGGGGATGTTTATCTTGACATCATGGCGCTTCATAAACTCCTCTTCCTTTAAGTCGGATACGTTTGGTCAGCAATTGCCTAATTAGCAAGAGCGCTTTCAACACAGACCTTCTCGATCTCAAGCTCGCGCCCACGCTTCTGGCCTCGCGGAGGAAGAGTGGTAGAAGCTCCCGTTGGAAGATCCTCAGAGCCAGCTTTGGAAGTCATCTTCTTCTTCGTATCGGGTGTGGGCTTCGGCTTATTCGTAATCGGTTTTGTATTCTCGTTGAGTTCCTTTTGCAATCGCAAATTTTCTTCGTTCATTTTGCGGAGGCGGTCTGCAGGGACAAATTCATCCCACCTGGTCACTGTCAGCTGGCCCGATAGCAGCTACCAACTCTATCGTACGATAATTCTGTCCTTTCAATTTCCCCCAAACAGCTTCCACAAAAAAATAGCTAGCTAGCGAGAGATTGCCTTTCCTTCAGAACAACAAGAGCTCGCTAAGATAACTTACGTATTCTTCCACCCCTTGTAATGCACCTTGTACTCCGGCAGCTCTTTCTTGTCGTCCGATTTTTTGACCTCCAGTACCTTTGCTTCATATAGCATAGGCCCGTGAAAGCACAAAACCCTCTCCTGAACGTCGTAAGTGAGCACCTTTTGCGCAGCTGCTGGGGGCATGATATCGACTCGGATTTTGTTGCTTCTGCCTCAAGGATGTGCTTCGGTTGCTGAGTTAGTGAAAGAGAAATGGAAGGATAGGCGCGAGACTGGAGCAATGGGAGGACGCGTTGGGAGTTCTACATACACGGCCACCTCTGTAGTAGTTACCCTGCTTTCACGATTAGTCACTCGACCTTTTTCTATGTTGGGGATGCATGCTTGCCATCATCATTATCTGTGCAAGTATCAATGGCCTCAAGTACCACGGCGCTCGAGTACGAGATTCTTTCGTCATTTATCCTCTCCCGTGCGTCATTACAGGACATCATCTCTCTCCACAAGTTCACTGAGCTATTCCCAAAAGATAAGCAGTCAAATCCTCAGGTTAAGCTTCTTTACGCAGAGCTCCAGCTTCAGCGCAACAAAACATGTGATCGCGTTAAAAAGAACTTACAATTCGAAGCTCGACTCGGCGCAAAGCAACGAAGGGACGCAAAACGGCAGCAGCGAGAGGGGCAGCACATAGATGATGACGCGATGGCGGGGATTGAAGTAAGGTTCACAGAAAACACCGGTAGGCTTTTCATTACGCTAACCGGGGAATTTATCGTGTAGCTCTTCGGTGCAGCTCGTTCAGAACCAAAGCTCCCATTAAGGGAGCTTTTACAGCAAATGAAGGCCGCTGCCGAAGATCTTGATGCAGAATTCAAAAACCTCGATAGGGAATGCGATGAGATACTCGGAGACCTCAAAACTACGATTGGAGATCTCAGCGATCTGCGTTACGGAAAGTTCGCCAACGCAGGTTTAGACGAAAAAGTTGTTTCGGATTTAGAGAATCTGCATAAGACCTGCGGACGAGTCTTAAACCCTGATTCTCATTCAAATGAAACTTAGTAGTTACACGATAGTGAGCGTACATGAATACTACAAGTCCAAAACGCTCTGGAAAAAAAGAAAAGAAAATGGAAGAAGTAATAGCTTTTCCTTCTTTGACCCTCTATGTCTGTGTCTGTGATAATAAACATCACTGAAAGAAGTGGTATGTTCCCAATATTCAAAATGAAATCACCCTTTCTTCCTTAGTTGTTTAGCCATTTCCTTATAGCCTACTATTCAATAATGACCGACACTTTCCGAATATAAAAGAAGCCAAAAAAAGCGCCGAACCCAAATCTCTGACACTACAAGTTCAGAAGCCCAAGGAATTATGAAGAACCAGCAGCAGGCGCGGGGGCTCTTGGTGGGGTTGTAGTGACACCCCTAGTTATCCGTGACCTGTATATCGGAATAAGATAAGCATGCATAAAATAAAATGTCATGTGATAGGGACAAAGGCATACATAATAGTCCTTCCCAAAAGACTGATCGTAACCATCATGACCCACGGCGGGAGGGTCTCATAATACAACATGGCCGTAGAAATATAAGGCACAACGAAGTCTTTTAGCGCACCGTCAATAGGATTGAGGATACCCGACCAGGCGTCAACACTCTTCCACGCCGCTTCAGTGTGAAATTTTACTAAATGTGCCGCTTGCTCTCCGTCGATCAACTCAACGGGCCAAGGAACTTCCCTAATCTCGACGGTGCCATTCGCGAAGGATGCAATGTGGTAAACCTCCGGAAGTTTACCTTGAGATGTCAAGAGGAAGGTCTGACATAATTCCGTGGCTTCGGGCGATGCACAGTCGATTCTTCCAAGATTGATTTTGGGGGCGGGGCCAGCAAGGTTCTGGGCAGCAGCGAGCTGAACAGTTGTTTCCTGTAACACTTCTTGTTAGTTTCATATGCGCAGCAACAAAGATAAGAAGCAACCACACACCTCAAAAATCCCATCCCATTTCGTCGCGTTCCGAGTACCGTTAACGTTACTTGTGGTAAAGTAGAAATACCACTCTTCGGCCGTTTCGGTCACGTCAGAACCTTCAGCGACAGCAGTATTGTTGATGGAACTTCGCCAGTTTTCGGATGTGATATTGCGCACCCGTCTCTCGATCACAATGTGCTGGTCAACCTCCTCAACATTCGCAGCGAGTGGCTTCTGTGTGCCCAGAACACGGTTGAGATAATCGCCCCACTGTGCAGACACAAGTGACGCGCCAGCCAAGAGGAAGAGTGAAGATAGCCGCATGGTTTCCTTTTCTTTCTTTCTATTATAAGATAGCTTGTAGTGAGAAGAAAGAGATTTAATATTTAGGTTGTGGATTGTAGGATATGTTTGCGTGGGTGCGTGTGTGTGGGTGTGTGTGCGTTGTACGTATCTAGTGTAGGGGAGTTTAGAAGAGGGAGAGAGGAGTGGGGAACTGTCAGTGTCGGTAGGCGGAAGAAATCCAACTACTTGCACGTATTTGCTAGGAGTATGTGTGACTGTATATACCAATGATTCGCCTACAAAGCTGTACGGTGCAGTACGGGCGAGAAAGAAAGGGATTGGAAATTATCATGTAGCCTACATACCAATTCGCTTCAAGCAACGTTGCAGTAAACGAGGCTGTAACCAGGGCCATTGAACTACCCAATGCACTGGACCGACTGGGCATCAACTAGGGAATTGTGAGGCTCAAATCAGACAAGTCTCCTTCCCACCATTGACACATACCCCTTCTCGTAACATCACCTAACACACTTGGATCCGAAGCTCCAATAAGCCTAGAGTCTGTGAAACATTCTATAGCACTCTATGCACGTGTGCATGCGTCAAATCACCACGAAACCATGTACATTTCTAAGGATTCTATTGCTAACAATTAAAAACAGTGTAGGTATCGCACTGTAGTTCTGTAGGTACATTATGTATATATCCCCTGCATACTAAGTACCTTTGATCTATATACGTAGTTATTAAGAGAATTTAATATATCTTATAAGTATATAGATATACCGATATGCAATGTGTTATTTAAAGATTTTGATTGGCTAGGTTTGAGAAGTTGGTGATTAAGATTGCTTTTTTTTGAGTTGCTAACACATTGATTTTTTTTGCTTTTCTTGAGGTGATATCATGGTATTGGTTTTTGATTTTCTCGGTAGAATATAATAGTATTGATTTTTGATTTTTTTGTGACAATATAATCATGATTGAATTGATTTTCCTTTTTGAGAGCAATATAGTTATAATTATATTAATTTTTGTTTTTCTTTATATGATATTACAGAGTATTGATTTTTGCTCTACTTGATATCATGATGATAGTATCACATTATCAATATTTGCTTTTCTCGGTACTACGATATAATCATGATAACATTGATTTTTGTTTCTCTCCATAATTAGTAGATTTTGGTATTATCTTCTGCTCGGAGATCCTCCTCCAATTCCATCCTCAAACCTGTCCCAACTCTGCCGTATTCAAAGTTGTTCCTGAATCCAGAACCGAGCCGTTAGAATTAGCAAATGATTTTTTGCTGATGAAGTATTAATAGACCAACATGAATGCAGGTAAAATCAAAAATCAAAAGGTTATTTTTGCTAATTTTTAATTAGATCCTTCTACATTAATATAAAGTTTTGAGTATACCCTTCCTGGGGCTATATTCTCATACAGAACTGCACTAAAATATAATATATGATGGATTGTCCTCTCCGGCCGAAGGCCGGCAACGACTTGTAGTTCATATATATATATAATTCAACACATTGGTGATAGAATGTCAGGCGCATTATATAGTACAAAGGTTCTCTAGCTGCCTTCAATCTCTTACACTACTACCTCGAGGGTTCCCTCCCCCTCATTATATGCATTCATGAATGATTTGTTTGAATTCTACGGTCGAGAGAAAGCACATATAGTATATTTCCATAATAATTTACGTAATTACATACATGTAGTCTGGGCCATGTACTAACAGTAGGCTGTTTGGGTCTGTTAAAAGCTCCGACTGGGGGATAATTGGGAGCAGTGCTCGATATTATCGCGAAATAAGACCATGTACTGTCTACATAGCTTGTACCTACTCGCGCTGGTACTCGTGTGTAGATCTAGAGTATATCAACAAATTCACCTAGACTGCGCTTCTTCCACTGGGCTGGATACGTATTCCGTGAGGATATTGATATAAAAAGTCTATATTACATCCATTATCTATATACATATATCTGGGAAAGAGCCACTACTATAATATACAACAAGTAGTACATATACATGTGGTTACAATATATTATCAACCCAAGGCACCAAACGAAGCGACACCCGCAAGCGTACGTACGTCTTAGTATATTATACATATATTAATCCATGGCCGCGCGCGGGGAAGCGTTTCCTCCTCCCCTCCTCTCCCCAGGTATTTTTCAACCCGCTGATGATCACACATGATCTGCCGCATCTAAACACCCTAAATTTTGAGACTCACTTAGAACTGAGCCCTGGAGGATGTATATATACATACAGCCACTTAGCAAAAGTGTTCGTGATATGGTTTTCATGTCAGTGCGCAGTGTGGCGCACCTGTAATACTAATGTTATTAAAGTTGAGATTCAAAACAACGAAAAATATATAATATAGTTTGTGACTATATATAAAAAGAAGATAGGTTATTGATCTTATTCTTCATTAATTTGGGCGCCATTGGTTGGGAAAGTCTTCTCTTGGGGGGTTCTGGATGATCCGCCGCGGTTGCATATGGAGAAATGTCTCACTCCGAAATCGGAATCACAAACACTTTTGCAGAGTGGCTGTACATATAGCCTACCACATCAGAGCAGCATATTTGACTAAAGAAGACCTTCTAGAGATCCAAAAATATTACACAATAGAAGATAGAGCACATGTTATTGTGTAACGGGGGTCTATGGACGTAGGAACTATGGTGCCAAGGAATACAACCGAGGCAAGGACGTAGCAATAGCTATTCGCGACTATGGACTATGGGGTGGCTCTGCCTAGTATGACAAACTAGATGAACCCTATGGCGAGGCGTAGAACAAAGTAATATTCGTGGAGTAGGTACAAGAGATTCCGTGAAGAGAAAAGGAAAGGAAGAGAAACATGAAAAGACACGAGACAACGCCCCTTTATATATCCAACTCCTAGTCCGTTGATGACTAATACCTCGCATAACGGAAATCGAAAGAACATGACAGAAACCCCATTACAAATCCTCGTTCAACTGCGCAACTGCTCCTTCGCACGACCCAATCTATCAGCTTAGTCGAGATACAATATTGCCGTTACAGACCACGCCCCCCTCTAAGGCCTACCTCCTGGTAGGCTTAGGCTTTCGTGGATAACGTTCATGAAATCGTTGAACAATATCAGGTGAATGCTCAAGGTCCGATAGTGGTTGCCAGGAGGCATCGTCATATCCTTTATATTGTACCAAGTACTCAAATTTCCCTCTTCGCTTCCTAGAATCCAAAATATCCTCGACTTCCCATTCTTCTTCTCCTTCGATCTCAACCGGAGGTGGTGGTGACTGCTTCTGTCCAGGTAACGGGTTACCTGCTTCGGGTGACAATAGCGAAACATGGAATACCGGGTGGATATTCATGGAGCGGGGAAGTTCTAGCTCATAAGCATAGGAATTGACGATTCGTTTGATACTGTAAGGGCCAATCCGTTTCCAGTCGAGTTTCTTGGAGGGTCGCTTTGTTAAAACATGGCGCGTCGATAAGAAAACTTTGTCTCCGATACGATAACGAGGGGCGGGAGAACGGTTTAGATTGGCTGATTCCTCTTGTATCTTTTGTGACCGAAACATTTCGCTCTTCAGGAATTCCACCATATCCTTCATTTCTTTTGCAATACTATTGGCCTGATCTTCCGCTGTCGTTTTGCCATGTTCCAGGAGGCCAAAAGTCATCCGTGGGTTTCTTCCCGAATTGGCATAGAAAGGAGAGACCTTTGTTGTTTCCGACACGTGATTATTTGTTGCGAACTCAGCCATTGCCAATAGTCGGACCCAATCATCTTGTTGATAGGAAACGTAAGTTCGAAGATACTGTTCCATTACAGCATTGATCCTTTCAGTTTGTCCATCAGTCTGAGGATGGAAGGCAGTAGAGAATCGTGGGGATATTTCCAGGCGTTTGCAAAGTGACTTCCAAAATTCCGCAACAAATTGGGTTCCCCTATCGGACACGACAGTATCAGGTAGTCCATGTAGCTTCCAAACATTATCGATGTACAGCCTCGCTACTTCCTTCGAACCCACCTCTTTAGTCGTTGGTATCAGATGTCGCATTTTGGTTAGTCTATCGACAACAACTAGGATCGCATTATATCCATCGCTCTCAGGAAGGTCGGTGACAAAATCCATCGAAACATCCGTCCATGGTCCATCAGGTATTGGCATTGGGCGAAGTACCCCATAAGGCAAATTGCGTGGTGCCTTGCTGCGGACACACACATTGCAATTTCTAACATACCGGTCGACATACTTCCGCATTTGTGGCCAATAGTACTCCCGGCTTAGGAGTTCCAAAGTCTTCGCTCTACCTGGGTGGCCTGCCGATAACTTATCATGATGTTCTTTTAGGAGTCTCAGCCGGAGGTTATGGTCATTTGGTACGTAGAGTGCGCCTCGATAAAGTAGCCGACCATTATTGTCTTCAGTACATTCGGCAAGTGAAATTTTGTTTGAATGTCGAACGTCGCTCCGAAGCATAACGAGAATCTCGTTTGGGAAACTATCAACTTGGTAAGCTATTGAAAACAACTCCTCCACAGTGGACATTCCTTCAGCGGATTCATTTGATAAAGAACCCGCGAACAAACTTAGCTTTGTATCCAAATTTTTTCGTTTCAGAACCACTTGACTCTGATGCGTCAACCTTTCATCCCCCTCTTTAGGTAGGTCACCTGACCTTCTAGTTAATGCATCGGGTTTTGCTCCTTGTTTTCCTGGTCGAAATTGTATAATAAAATCAAAACGTGAAAGAAATTCGGACCAACGGGCTTGTCGACGATTTAATAATTTTGTCGTCATGAAATATTCCAGATTTCGATGATCGCTAAAGACCTCAATGGGGAATTGTGCTCCTTCTAGATGATGTCGCCATTCTTCAAAACAACGTACAATCGCTAGAAGTTCTTTATCATAGATATCATAGTTACATTCCGCAGGGGAATGTTTCTTGGAAAAGAAAGCGACTGGATGTAAAATTCCTTCATCATCTCGTTGTGATAGGATTC